CGCCCCGGGCCTACCTGCAGCTCTCGGAGCAGGGTGAGCGTGACGTGGCTCTTCCCGGTCGCCCGGTGCCCGTAGAGGAAGAGGGAGGGGTAGCTGTAGTGCTCGGGCTGCAGGGACAGGACAGGGAGGAAGAGGGGCTGAGGGCCGGCGCCGACCGACACCTGCCCCGCCCTGCCCAGACCCCGGCATGCAGGCCACGTGCCAGTCGCACACGCACACGCACACGCACACGCACACGCACACGCACACGCCGCCCAATCCTCTCACCTCCCCGAACAGCGCCAGCAGCGCGGCCGCCTGCGCCTCTCGACAGGGCACGGCCTCCTCCGCCGCCTGCAGGCGGCCCGCCGGGTAGCCAGGGTGCTGCAGCTGGGCCGGCATCCTGCAGGGACAGACAGGGGGCAGAGGGGCCCGCGGCGGTGAGGACACACTGGGCACGGGAGGCGGCCACACGGGGGGGAGACTACAAACCCCAGCTCCCCCGCCTCCACCCTTTATTCCCACGGCCCTTACTGCTCTCCAGTGTGGAGACTGCGCCCCCTACTGGACCCCACCAGAACTGCGGTCCACTCACGGTGAAGCCCAGGTGACTCCTTGATCATCCACAGCATAATCCGTACACTTCTAAAACACTCTTCCAGACACTCCGCCGAAAGAGCTATACCGCCATATGTACAGCCCCACCTGGAAGATGTGATGGCACCCATAGTGCACCAGTACGCTCCCCACACACCAGCTCTCAGTGGGGAGGAGAGCAGAGTGATGAAGCCAGTTCACAGATGGGGATTATTAGGAGGCCACGACTGGTATAGGCCAGGAGGAAATTTGGTCAGGACTCCAGAATTAACACCCCTACCCTTTTTCAGCAAAGCCCTGAGATTTTTCGCGACCTATGGAGAGTCACGACCTGTGTTATGTCTCATCCCAAGGATGAAGCCTTTTTTTTTTTTTACAGTATAGTGTTTCCATCACTATACTGGGGCATTAGGATCCACGCAGACTGCAGAGTGAGCTCCCCCAACTGGCCCACTAGCACCACTTCCAGTATCAACCTCAGCTTTCCCAGGAGTCTCCCATCCAGGTACTGACCAGGCTCACACCTGCGGAGCTTCAAGGGGCTTCCAGGTGTGAGGTACAGGGTGATATACAGTAGCTGTTGTCTTTATACATTTCTGCTCCTTTTAGAAGCTGTATAGAACAAGCGTAAAAAAGACCAGCTGGAGAGCTGAAGGTTTTTGAGTGAGCATCACAGACACGTTGACTCAGAGAGTCTCAGCGTACTG